GCGTTTGAGAGCAACATGTTTTCAAAGTTGAGAGGCAAAATTTTTTCAAAACTTTTCGGACACCCTAATAGTTTGGGGATCCATAGTAAATCACAGAGTGCTTGAAGAAAATCCAGAAAGTAAGCCCCAAATCACGAAATTTTCTATGAACACTCCCGTGTGTTGTGACCCGTGACCCGTACAGGATAGAGCTGCTTGGATTGAGGACCCGTGAAACTATACGCATATTTTTTATGAACAAAACTTCGCTGACCTCCTAGTAATCTAAAGTAACGGTGAAAAAATGACCTCAAATCAGTACTGCTCATCAGGGGTCCATGTACACTACCAAATCTGTTTTGTGTTGAACTTGTATACCATTCGTTACAGCCTCATGCATCCTTGAAAATCGGTATAACACTCCTCTACAAAAACAGAAATCAACAAGGAAACGAAATGGCTCACTCTGATGTCCAGCCCCTTATCTCGTCTAAAAATTCACGAGTGGGTCCAGGCCTCGTGAGCCAGTCAACAGCCTGATTACCACAGTCTTCCAATAGATGTTTCGCATGCCGACCTGGATTTCCACGCTCGATTGATAACAATGAATATAAAATCAGTCAAAATAGCAGAAGAGAACTAACTTGGGCTCCGCGGTGCTGCGTTTGCCCCACGGCTTACATTATGATCGTGCGTACGAATAGCTTCTTCGTAGAATTGGGCACGAGAAAGGTATTCAGAAGTATTTAACGTCATTCCGTTAAGATGGGAGATATCGATAATTTTCTGAAACGTATTCGCGAATGTATTTGCAAAAATAATTTTTCTCGAATCCTCCTTCAAACACATAAATGCAAGGAAAACTTCATCGGATAAGCTTTACCTATGAATTTATTAAAAAAAAACAAAAGCTTTCCTTATTCGAAAAACAGAAATCGCTAGTAAAGGCAACGCAAAAAGAAAAGGATATAAAATAGCAAAATAATGTTACAAAAGGTGCAAAAGAGGGTTAGATAGACTCACATGTCGGAAATCTTCTACAATTCGATTCAGAGCTTCTTCCTCTTGTTCCTCTTTACTTTTCACGGCTCTACGTGAAGGATCCCAACCTCTAGCGCCTATTTCATCAATTCCATGGCTATAACAGAAAAAGGTTCTCAAAAAGAACTAATTATTTGAGAGACGTTTCAAGAAGAACCTTTACTTAAAATACTCAGGTGACAGATCTCTGTCAGACTAACCGTTTTAAGAATCGATGTAGTCAAACAAATAAGGGAGAACCACCGACTCTGGATAGGAAACTTCAGATTCAGATCGAAAGGATTACGTAGTTCGTAATGGAAAGCTCCCTACATACCTGTTTGATCCTTTTCTTTTTATTGCCGTAAATGGCCAGAACCTAGGAAATGCCACTTTCCCTCAATCAAACAAAAAATAAACATTCTTTCCCACTACAATTTAACGATTATTTGTCTTCCCAAGAACTTCAAGTATTATTTTGTTCTTGAGAACCGTTAGGTCTTATTTGAGAGAAGCGTGCGGGAATTGCCATCAACTTGTTATCTCGTAAGCAAGCATGACGATAAGAAGTTGTAAACAGAAAGAAGCATACCCATTAAGGCGATCGTCATCTCGCCTAAGTGGAGTAACACTGGAATCATCATAGAAACGTTCATATGGCAATCCATCATTGTCCTCACCGCCACAGCAACAGATTGTTTTTATGATATCCAGAACTACTTTCATGATATCCAATACAGAATACTAAAGAAATGCATTTATAATCCAATTAAATGTGAATCTCCATACTCTATCAGAAAGGGCTAAGAAGATATCACAAAGACGAACTGTAAAGAAATTACATGAGCTTTTATCAGAGCGGTGATCAGGTTGACGTCAAAATAACAAACGAAGAGCGAGTTCTGCACTCACGGAAAATATTTTACTCCACGCCTCAAAAGCAAATTTGTCAACAACGTAAACTAATTTCATGTTGTTTTTTTTTTAACCATTCGTCGCTTTTTCCCAATACCACAATGATTCTCAGTTTCAATCGTACAATACCTCCTTTTATAAAGTCGCGAGGTGTTCTTTGCCCTGAAGGTAATCAGTTTCTGTTATTTGAAGCTAGGAGCGAAACGACGGCACCGCAAGGCTCAAACCTCTGTCGAAACGTCAATGAAGGTCGTGAAGACCTACTAGAGCTTTTACTTGAATTTCTTTTCAAAGAATTTTTATTTCAGATGCGGGTTCGTGATGATGACGGCAACCTAAAGGTGTTAGCTCTATTTGCAAAATGTACCAAGTGCAGATGTAGCGGTTTCCGTCCCGTACTAAACTACGATCAAACTGTGGAAGATGGCGGATTGTTTTTGGCTAGTTAAATTGCTTCCAATTTTTTTTTCTCAAATTTATTAGTCTCCTTGTACTTACAATTTTAGCTCTCAGTTAAGAGAACCAATGCATTTTTGAATCACTGCATATGCATTTACTTTACTGCAATAGTTTTTTTTTTGATGTCAGATGCACACCAGGACATACTTCCTTCAATTTCAGGTCGATTTCAAACATATCCGAAACGTTGACAGCGATGCAGTTTGTCGAGGTTGCAATCATGGGATAGGCTAGTAGTTATCATTGGAGTTTTTTTTTTTATCATTTAAAGTCATCTCTGACGGCTGCTAGGTTTTTCGATTTCATTTTAATAATTCCAGAGTCACATGCAGCCAATTCTGTGAAACCCACCAAATATGAACAAGAAAAGCTGATTCAGCTTGCGAATGACACACATGGCTTGCATAATCGGATGGCAACACAGAGGATGAGCTACACGTGAGTTGCCGTTGTTTATTTATTTATTATTACACTGAAAACACTGGGAACAATTCATTTGTGATCAACACAGCACTTCTAAAAAGCGTAATTATAACTGGATTCTATCATTTCGTTGTTTGTATTGCTTGTTTACTTTCAGATCGTTTATCAAGTCTTCCAGCTATGTTTGAGTGCTTTAAAGAAATGGAGCACTGTCGTAGACGTTCCATTTGGTTTCCCAAAATTTGAAGCAATGTCAATTTTCAACATAGTGACGGCTTGTGTTGCATTTTACGGGGAATCGACAGAGTGAGCTCGTAGCTTTCTCTTTTGTCTCCATAGGAATTTACACTCAAAAATATTTTGTTAATTTCTAGAAATATTCAACATAATCTTGATTGTGCGTCTAAGCTGTTAACGATTATAAACACATGGAAGATTCCCACTCCTACAGTGTATCTTGATGCAGGTACACCTAGGTTTTTTCCATCTTTCCATTCGTTCGATAACTTTTATAACAAGAATTCAGTCCCAAAAGCCGATCGTATTCAATATCGTTTGTTCTACACCAGATGGATGTACTTTGTCATTTTGCAGCAGCAATTCAAGTCCTTCAAACAATATGAGGCAGTGGAGATTTTCGGTCATAAAGGCCTACAATTTTTCTTGAATTTCGCCCTCAGTTCACAGGGTGCTGGCCTTCAGGTGAGTCTGTCATACTTTATGTATGAATGTTTCCATAGTTTCTCTTCGCTTTATGTGACCATTACCAAAGAGTAATTTAGTCTGTGGAGGAACTTCACGAGTTTATGAGTTCGTTAGTGAGTTTCGTCGAGATGTCATTAAAAACCCCGATAAAACTGAAGATGGTTCTTCCTGATGGCTTGGAACTTCCGAAGTATATTATTTGTTGCTTCTTTACTCTTATCAGAATATCATTGATAGTAATATGACACCCCACCTTCAGATTTACTCGCCTTAGCGAAAGAGAGCCTTCTTTTGAATCTAGTCGTCCAGCATCACGAGAAGAAGACAAACCATCCAGAAAACGCACAAAGGTCTGTGGCATTTCTACCTTCAATAAATTTTTTTTTCTCAATTTCATTGTGGTCTTGGTCATCCGTTCTAAAAGGAGTATTTCTGATGAAATGTTCGTGGCTATGTTTTAGCTCATTTCGTTGTGCATGGTGTCGAGTTTCGTGCTCAGCTAATTATAACTACTTTCTCACTAGTTCTCGTTCATATGGCGTTGTTATGCTTGTGAAAGTTCCCCACTTTCTGTTTTCTTATATTCCATTCAGCCTGCCCGAGCTTTTCTGACAAAAGCTTCACTTTAGATTCATGCTGGTCCGTTTTTTACAATATGAATGATGTAATTTTTAGTCCGAAACTTCTCTATCAACCGATCTGTTTCTCAGGGCTATTGTGAAGACTGTGAATGATGTAGGTTCTTTCAAACATATGTTCTAACCACTGTTATCTGGGAAAATTGGAGTATTCAGGCTCAAAGCGGATCCGATACTGACCCATGTGATGCAATAAACCTAGACGTTTGCCGAGGAGAGACTGCAAGGATCGAGGAGAAGAATGGGATAATTGAGCAAGTTTCAATTCTTGGAGTTGTCCTGTACTGCAGGTGCTATATTTGTTCTCTTGCAGATTCAAAGTTATTGGAAATTCGTTGAAACCCTTCCAAGATCGTGAAACAACAGTGTCACTATTACAACTACAAAGTCTATTTTCTGTCCAACTACCAAAAATGCCAAAAGAGTACATAACCCGTTTAGTCTTCGACGACAGGCATAGAAACATGGTGTTACTCAAAAAAGGTGAGTCCTTCTGGCTTTTTTGCTAACATATGCACTTTTGTGGTCAATTTTGTTTGTCTTTTTAAGGCAAAGGAGTTATCGGTGGGATATGTTTTCGTCCGTTCCCGACCCAAGGCTTCATAGAAATAGTTTTCTGTGCAATCACCGCGAACGAACAGGTCAGCTTATGGTTGCTTTGTTTTCCACATTGTTTGCTGCCATTTCGAGTGATCAACAGAAATAGCGTTCACCTTTCAGGTGAAAGGTTACGGTACGCATCTAATGAACCATCTGAAGGTCTATCAAGTGAAGTGTGGAAACTATCATTTACTAACTTTTGCAGACGAATTTGCCATCGGATATTTCAGGTTTGACTTTACATTTTCCTTCAATGTGAAATCATTAACTACTTTCTTTATTGCAGTAAACAAGGATTTTCGGAGAAAGTTGAAATGCCTAAGAAGTTATATCAAGGTTATATTAAAGAATATGAAGGTGCTACGTTAATGGGTTGCCAACTTCATCCCCAGTGAGTTGGATATTTTGAGTTACTCATGTTTTTGATCATACTAACTTGGCATTGTTTAGAATGCGTTATACTGAATTCTCATCTTATATGAAGTGTGTCCGTGATTTGCATCAAGCAATGAGCGAAGTTAAGTATCCCAATAAGACGCGTAAGTACGGTGGGATAGAGCATATTTTCCGTTATCACGGTAAGAACTGTACTTCCTATGTCTTCTTTAAAATGAATTTTTAAGCTATTTCTGGTGTAATCTAGGTGGTAATGGTCTACGATTCAAAGACATTCCTGGACTCGAGAGTTACAATGACGATGACAGTCCTGCAAAGGATGATGATTTGGAAAGCAAGATAAAGCTCATTCTAAAGAAGCTCAACGCTGATAAGTGCAGTTGCCCATTTGTTGCGCCAGTTGATGGAGAAATGGTGGGCTTGAATTAGCTTTTATCTAGTAATTTCCCAAGCATCTCTTTGGCAGATAAGATTATTCTCTCGACGTTTCGATGAGCTCACTTCTTCTCCTAATTAGTTATCCGTTCACTTTAAAAAGCTATATATTTCCCTCCAGTTGTTGACATTGTTTTCTGTTGGAATGAGCTCCAATCGTCAATGTACCTTTTATGCACTGAAGGGTTCTTTATGAACTCAGTGGACGCCTTCTTCAATTACTAGAGATCGTCTGTTGCTGTTAAAGTTTCGTTCAACTCCGAATTTCCAGCAATAAATGGAGCTTAGCTTACCCAGGTTCGAATGGCCTGTAAAATTGAGTAAGATGATGGGCCACGTGATAAGATCTTTTCTTTGAAATGGGTGCGAATACCGATTTGCCCTTTGTTAAGAACTTTAGCAGAGAAGTTATTTCTTGCTCCCGCTGTATAACTTGCTTTACGGTCTTCGGAATACTTCAATAGTTAAAGTGATTCCTTCTGTTCAGGTTCCCGAGTACTATGACTATATCGAATACCCAATTGATCTCAAAACAATGGGTGACCGCCTTCGAGCGAAGTACTATGTTCACGTAAGAGTTTTCTCTCCTATACAGCTTTCACTACGAAGTTGCACTACCTCTTTACAGCAGCACTTATTTATTGCTGACCTATGCCGCATGTTTGCCAATTGTTACAGCTTCAACGGGGTGGATACAGAGTATTATCGATGCGGGTGAGTATTGTGGTGTTGAAGAAAAGATTTTCACATCAGTCTGTGAAGGGTTTTCTCTTAATGTTCCGTCTTTTACCGCCTTATGGAACTACCTATTGACAAAACCGAGTTGAAAAAAATGTTTTTAGGTATCGACTGAATAAACTTGCTCTGGAATTGGTAACAAAACATTTCCCATCATCTCCCCTTCGTCCCACACTACCGGAGTTAAAACCCCTTCATGATGAACATTGATTGTTTTTTTAAGTTCTGAAAACTGAGATGATTGTTTATTTATTGCATGTATTTGATCTCTAGAGCTCAACAAGCCATTTTGAACAGGATTTTGTTCATAATTGTACATATCAGCATAATAATAATAAAATAATTATATCTATATATTGTCAATATTGTTGTTCTGTGTAAGCTGGCCTATGACAGCAACTGTGTGAGCAGTAGCGCAGCCCCCGGATCGGAAGTTTCCGGTGATTGATCACAGTCAAGCACAAAGTCTTTTCGCAAAACAGGAATCGGTGGCAATTTCAGGCATAATTATTAGCACTTTCATTTGAATACGGAGACTTGGAGGGCAGACTGTTGGGAGTCAGGAGCAGCATGCCAGGCGTTGAGATAACTAGCTAGCTCAGTCGACTAATTGTCAGGCATTCTGGGCTGGGAATCCAAGGAAAAACCGGTTTTGCAAAAATCCTTCAGCCGTTCACCCATCACCCTTCACACCCTCACCCCTTCCCTCCTGATGGGGATCTATCCTATAACCTTTTCTATTAGGTTGAGTCATAAGTCCTCCGTCAATGTGATAGTGATGACTTCTATAGTTCATAACTCGGGAAAAAAGTGACAAAAATGGGCGCGGGAGGCATCGTTAGATAGAGAATGATAAGCTCTTCCAAATACATACTAACGAACACACCTAACTGTTTCCTTTCCTGCAACCATGCCCCATGTTTTCAAGCCGTCGCACCTCCACCTCCGCAACATCATCCTATTTCTTTTGTTATCTGGCCAAGAACCCGCTGCGATCGATAGACGTACAAAGGAAGTTCACAAGGAGGACCCCCTGCTAGAAGCACAATTTACAAGTGGCACTCGAAGTCCACGTCGGGCGACTATTCCATCGAAGATGAAGACCGTCCGGGACGCCCTATGGAGTTGGATTTGGACGTGCTGCTGAGCCAAGTGGAAGCCGATCCCTATCAAACTACTCGTGAACTGGCAGTCACTCTTGAGGTGAGTCAGTGCACAGTTGTTCGTAAATTGAAGTCAATCGGCAAGGTGCGAAAGCTCGGTCGATGGGTGCCCCA